AACCCTCGATTTAACGAACAAATTTGGCCGGTCCCCAGCGACTTCGTTAAATCGAGGTTCCACTGTAATAATTTAACGAAGGCACATGCTGTCAACTTGCCCTGTGTCCGCCCAGCGATACTGTTCACGGTCTGCGAAAAACAAATCCGTTCACTTGGCCTAAAGTATACTTTATTCGACTATGCGATTCTTTAACCGTTAGGAAGTTCCTTTGCAACCGGCTAAATGGTGTTAAATGCCTGGTTGTTTCCCCGAAGATATTAACAGGAGAAACGTCAATTGCCATTGCCACTCCCTTTTTTTCTCTAGGATGGCCTGCTCTTAACTGCCTCTTGTTATTCATTTGTTTAAAATAATTTTATAGTGTTCTTAGCACTCTTTTAAAAAAAAGAAAGTGCAACATTTTATCCCTCGATCTCGTCTCGGAAACAAGAAGATCTTTCAGATCTTATAACCGCGCTTTTAAAATTTAAATGTTTTCTTAGCACCACAGTCGCAATGCAGTACACATTCCAAAGCAGTCCTTGATGATTCATTGACTACTGTAGACACCACATCACTTGATCAACGCAAACTGCATTATTGCACCATCAGTCGTAGCCGCTGTGAAATCTCCGATGACGTAATTCCGGCACATGTCATAATATGGGATCATGAGTGACCCGTTTTTTGTTTCGTGCTCTTTTGGAGCCCGCCGAGGTCATTTTTTCGTCTAAATAACCTGAGAAAAGTGCGAGAAAGATGTTCCTATTCAATTTTCAGCTCTCAGGCAATAATCCTGGACTTTTTTTTAGCGAAACGTCGGTTCGTGTTATGTTCGTGTGTTTCAGTTGCTATGGGCGACTGTCGCTTCCTTTGTTGACTCAAGCAATGAAGCGAGGTGACAAAAAAAAATCTAATTATATTTAGTTCTGGTTTTGTTCGATTTCGTTGAAATTTTAATATGATGAAGCTGGATTGTTAAGGAATAGATTTTACTACTGTCGATATGAGGTAGCTATTAACGCTAAAGTGATATATCGCTTCGAAGTCAGGGTTTTGAAGAGATTTTTTT